TGTCTTTTAATTTCATGGTTGCAGTCACCATCTGCAGAGATTTTGGAGCCCCCCCAAAATAAAATCTCTCACTGTTTCCATTGTTTCCCCATCTATTTGCCATGAAGTGATGGGACTGGATGCCATGATCTTAGTTTTTTGAACCCTGAGTTACAAGCCCATTTTTTTCACTCTCCTCTTTCTCTTTCGTCAAGAGGCTCTTTAGTTCCTCTTCACTTCCTGCCATTAGGGTGGTGTCATCTGCATATCTGAGGTTATTGATATTTCTCCTGGCAATCTTGATACCAGCTTGTGCTTCATCCAGCCCAGCGTTTTTCATGATGTACTCTCCATATAAGTTAAATAAACAGAGTGAAAATATACAGCATTGATGTAAGCCTTTCCCAATTTGGAACCATTCTGTTGTTCTATGTACAGTTCTAACTGTTGCTTCCTGACTGAATGTTTATATCCCCCAAAAGTCCATATGTTGAAGCCTAATCCCTAGTGTGCTGGTAGTTGGTAGTAGGACTTTGGGGAGGTGATTAGGTCATGAGGGTGGGATGATTCTGATGCATGATGTTTCCTCACAAGGTCTCCAGTAGAAGTGACCCCAGGTAACCATCATGTTAACCTGCTCATCAGTGTCCTCTATATTGGCATTTGTCCCTTCCCCAGTCTTTCTTGGGATCACTTCCTACAGCAGACTGTCTTCCAAAGATGGTCCCAACAATATCTCTTTTGTGGGAACAAGCTCTTTTAGAACCTTGCTTCACTTTCCATCAAGAAATGGAATCTCTGTACCTTCCCTTGAGCCTGGCTGGGGGCAGGGTGGTGGTATGACAGATCCTACAAATAGAACACCACAGAAATGATGCCATGTGACTTCCAAGACTAGACTGGAAAAGGTCATGAAGCTTCTGCCAAGTTCTCTTGGGACACTCATTCTTGAAAGCCAGCTGCCATGCTATGAGGAAGCCCAGGCCACATGGAAAGGCCCCGTGGAGGTGTTCCGGCTGACAAGCAGGATGGTCCACTGCATGTGTAAGTGAAGACACCTCAAGATGATTTTAGCCCCAGCCATCGAGTCACCCCCAGCCATTGAATCACCTCTCAGCTGATGGCCCAGATATTGCAGAGAAGAGACCACCACTGTCCACGGTGCCATGCCTGAATTCCTGACCCACAGAATCTGTGAGGATAATAAAAATGGTCGTTTTATGCCACTGCATTTTGCAGTGGTTTGTATTACAGTGATATAATAACTAGAGCAGCTCCCCAAGAAAGTACCTGCAGACAAGTCCCAGTTTCAGAGTCTACTTATGGGAGAACCCAAACTAAAACAAAAGAATATTGTTAGATCCCAGAATTTCTCCAGCTTCCAGTCCCACACTTATATTAGCCTCAGTGGAAGGTACCTCATCTTAATCCCAACACAAAGGTCAAGTCTTCATGTCATTAGTTTATGGGTGGTGGTGCTGTTCAGTCACTCAGTTGTGTCTGACTCTTTGCGACCCCAAGGACTGCAGCACGCCAGGCTTCCCTGTCCCTCACCATCTCCCAAAGTTTGCCCAAGTTCATGTCCATTGCATCAGTGATGCTATGGAGAGTTTAGGGATAGATGGGCCAAAATAATGGAACTGCTGACTGACCGGGTCCTCCTCCCCCATCAATCCTCCTTTTTCAAGAAGTCTTCCCCAAAATCACACAGGAAAACAAGGTTGAAGTACCAGGCCTTGCCAGTTCTGTTCAGGGATCAGAGGCCATGAACGTCAGGGGAGGGTAAACCTTCTTGAGTCCAGAGGTAAATGTCAATTAAGCTAAACCAATCAGTGTAAGGCTTCCGAGGTGGCCCAGGAGTAAAGAATCCAATGCAGGAGACTCAGGTTCAATCCCTGGGTTGGGAAGATCCCTCCTCCTGCCATCCCCTGGAGGAAGAAATGGCAACCCACTCCAGTATTCTTGCCTGGGAAATCCCATGGACAGAAGAGCCTGATGGGCTATAGTCCACGGGATTACAAAGGGCTGGACACGACTGAGCAACTGAGCATGCATGCACACAATCAGGGTAATTCCACTCTCCTTGCCAGGGGCGGTTTAGGCATGGAAGTATGATGAGACACGAGGAAAACACTCCTGGCCAGAAGGGTGGGGAAGCAGAGGATGGTTACTAAAGGTTTCTTCAGTCTTAAAAAGAGGGGTAAAGGGATGTCAATGTCCTAATTCCACCTTTGAAAGCTGTTGTATACAATACTTGAAGCTACAGCAAAACATCTTGGGACCATGAGAGGCAAGCATGAGGATAAAAACAAGAACACGGAGGATGATGTACAAAAAGCTGGAAAAGAATCTGACATTGTTCAATTACCTCTTCACCAATCATGGATATACCTGCCTCCAGAAATCTTAATTATGTGGAAATACAAGTCTTCTTAAGGCTTAAAATTCAATTTTGAGTTGAATCACAGGTATCTCAACATACAGAATTTGTTGCCAGGAGTGGGGGGGTTCTCACTGGGCAAACTATGATGAAAGATTCAGGACAACTCTCCATTTTTCCATCCCAGAAGCTGCTCCCTCGTTTCTTCTTACTTTCTGAAAGGAGGAAGTGGTTCTAAAGGAACAACTTCCCTTTTGATGAAATTCTCTAATTACCAGTAATTTGGGGGCTGAGGGGAAGCCCAGGTGGCTCAGCAGTAAAGAATCCACTTGCCAGTGCAGGAGACACAAGAGACTCGGGTTTGATCCCTGGGCTGGGAAGACACCCTGGAGAAAGAAATGGCAACGGGCTACAGTCCATGGGGGTCGCAAAGAGTCAGACATGACTGAGTGACTGAACACACACATGTGCTAGATTCCTTTCTAAACACTATGTGTTACTTTCATTTACTCTCCCTGGCAATTGAGAGAGGAAACCAAGACACAAAGAAGTTGAGTGTCCCACCACAGACACACACACACACACACATCACACTGGCTAGTTGGTGGCAGAGCCAGGACTTAAATCCATCCCATTCAAGTGACTTCAGATCCTATACCCTAAACCACCACCTGCTTCTTCCCTGTTTTCCCTCTCCAGAACCAAGCCACTTTCCAGTATGAATAACTCCTCCTCCAGGAAGCCTTTCCTGGTTCTCCTTCAGCCCTCTGGGTGTCCGTGATGAAACCTATCACCTTCCTTGATTATCACTATATCAGTGATATATCAGTAAGCACTGATTTGGGCTTCCCCGGGGGCTCAGTGGTAAAGAATCCCCCTGTAATGCAGGAGGTGCAGGTTCGAACCCTGGGTCAGGAAGATCCCCTGGAGGAGGGGATAGCAACCCACTCCATTATTCTTGCCTGGAGAATCCCATGGACAGAGGGCCTGGCGGGCTACAGTCCACATGGTCGCAAAGAGTTGACCACGACTGTAGGGACTTAGCACGCACATTGCCCTCTAACAGCCGTTATCTCCAAATGTTTTCACAATCCCCTCACAATCATTTTACAAAAGAGAAGACTGATGCTCTTGCATCTTGCCTGAGACCACACAGCCCGGGAGTGGCCATTTGGGACTGAACCCAGGCCAGTCTGTGCCAAAGTCTTAATGTTGCCACAGATGCTATAAACACCAGCGATTAAAACCAGGAGCCTCTGCCTGCCTCCCTCTGGCTCCAGAGGACTCTGATTACTGAACCTGGGATCAAGGGGATAGAGCGCTTTAAAGAGAAGAGAGTGGGGATAGCAGTCGGCATGTTTGGACCTAAGTCACAGGTTTCCCTGATAGCTCAGTTGGTAAAAAATCCACCTGCAATGCAGAACTGAGTTCTATCCCTGGGTTGGGAAGATCCCCTGGAGAAGAGAACAGCTACCCACTCCAGTATTCTGGCCTGGAGAATTCCACAGACTCTATAGTCCATGGGGTCGCAGAGTCGGACGTGACTGAGCAACTTTCACTTCACATCACCACCACCCCTTGCAGCCCTGGTGTCCTCATCTGTAACCAGGTGTTTAGTGGCCTGAGACTCTGAGCTCAGATAATCAGACTTTCATTTCCAGCGGCCCTACCTTGGACAAGTGCTTAAACAACCACGTCAGCTTCCTTGAGGCGCTGTGGGGATGAAAGCAGACAGTTATTGTGGAAGTTCAGGGCAGTGCCCACACACTGTCAGCACCATTCCAAAAGGCTCCCTGGGACTTCCCTGGTGCTCCAGTGGCTAGGACTTCATGGGCACAATGCAAGGGGCCTAGTTGGGCCATCCCTGGTTGAGGAACTAAATTCCACATGCTGCAACTAACACCCAAAGCAGTCAAATAAATATTTACAAAATGTTCCTTGGAACCCTGGTTCAGCCACTTACTAATCCCATGACCTTGGAGGAAAATCACTTAAACCTCGCTGTGCCTCAGTTTCCTTATCTGTAAAATGGGAATAACAATCATACCTAGCTGGTAGGGTTGTTTGAGGTTTAAATAAGGTAATGTACATGCAAAGTGTTTAGAACAGTGCCTGACACAACACCACATTCAGCAGATTCCTAGTATTACTGTCTTTGGTATTAGTATCACCTCCGCGGCTATCAGCACCAGTCCTCCAAGGGCCGGGCGGCCAAGCGCCGAGTTTTGCCGACTCACCGTCGCTGGGCACGTCTGGCCCCCTCTACCCTGTGCCCCCGCCATGGGCCTGAGTCACCCCGGAATGTGCGTCACCCGCGCCCCTCCCACTCCACGACCTGCAGACTCACCCTGAGTCAGCCTGCCCGGCCGCTTCCACTCCTGGAACGCCGCGCGGCGGAGGGCAGGCTGCGAGGCGCCCCCCAGCGGAGGGCCGAAGCCCCGCGCGCGTCTGGCAGCCGGGGGCGTGAGGAGCAGAGGTCCCGCGGGGGCGCTCGATGGTGGGCGGGACCATCCTGGGGCCAGGGGAGAGAGACGCTCCGCGCTGCCCGGCTGCACCCCCCCTCCGCCCGCACGGAATGGTACGGCCCGGCCGAGGTTAAAGCCCGAAGGTGGCCGTGGCGCGTCCCGCGACTGCCCAGGCGGCGGCGACGGCGGAATGATGGGTCTCCGCGCGGGAGGAGCGCTGGGCAGAGCCGGGGCGGGCCGGGGAGCGCCCGAGGGACCTGGGCCGAGCGGCGGCGCGCAGGGCGGCAGCATCCACTCTGGCTGCATCACCGCCGTGCACAACGTGCCGCTGAGCGTGCTCATCCGGCCTCTGCCGTCTGTGCTGGACCCGGCCAAGGTGCAAAGCCTCGTGGACACGATCCGGGTGAGGCCCCGGGGAAGCCGGCCGCTGGGAAGGCTTCAGAGGAGGGAGGTCGCGCTGGACGCGAGAAGGGACTAGTTCAGTTTCAGTCGGAACTCAGCCTTTGCTCTGTGACCTTGAGCAAGAGTTTGGGCCTCTCTGGGCCTCTGTTTTGTCGTGGAGCAAGGAGACTGGAGGAGGTCATTAAAATAGCTATCTCTGACTCCTATAAAGATAGCACTTGATATGGGCTTCCCTTGTGGCTCCCAGTAAAGAAAGACTCTGCCTGCGATGCAGGAGACCCGGGTTCCATCCCTGGGTCAGGAAAACCCCCTGGAGGAGGGCACGGCAACCCATTCCAGTATTCTTGCCTGAAGAATCCCATGGACAGGGGAGCCTGGCAGGCTGCACTCCATAGGGTCACACACAGTCCTACATGACTTAAGCGAATAAGTAGCAGCAGCTTCTTCATACCAACCCTGTAAGGCAGATATTACTATTGTTCCTCTTACAGACAAGGAATGAGGCCCAAGAGGATCCAAGCAGCTTGTCCAAGGTCAGGCATTTTAGAAAGTGGCACAGCCTGGTCATTGTGCAGCTGCATGGCCTCCACATAACCTGTGTGGTCACTTCTGGTGGTGGCAGTGGGACTGGGGGTGTCCTGTCTGCTGGGAAGACCTTGTTTGAACTGGAACTGGGAGAGAATGGGGTCAGCCACATCTCAGAGAGAGCTCAGGAAGGTCAGGATGATCCTGGAGAGAGGGGACATGAGTTCCAGGTTAGGCCTGCAGGGCATCATGTTCCCATCCCCCAGACCTCAGAAGTGGCCACAGACTCCGAGGCCCCACCAAACGTCTCTACTGCCTGCCTGTTGTCTTTTGGTCCTAGAGTTTACACTGCTGCTTCCACTGTCTGGAACTGCTTCCCAGAGAGCCACAGGGACTGCTCCCTCGCTTGGGTCAGGTGCCTGCCTCCCAGCAGCCCTGGCTTCTATAGGTCTCCCACTAACCTGAGTAGTTCGCCTTGAAAACATATTCAGGTTAACGCCTGAGTTATGTTTTCTGTGTGTTTGTGTTTTATTGTCTCCCCTCCCCATCTCATTTGAACTCCAAGGAGCTGGGATTTTGTCTGGTCATAGAACGAGCACGGTGCCTGGCTGTTTGTGATAGATCTGTCCAGGAATACTCTCTCCTACCCCTGGGCCTTTGCACAAGCTTTCCCCCTGCCAGAAACACTCTTTCTCTCTTCTTTACTAACTCCTTCTCGGTCTTCTGTCAGTGTGTCATCCTTGACAGCCCTTGTAAGGTTAGGGGCCTCCTGTGGGCTCCCAGCCACCTCCATACCTGTCAGCACACCTCTGATCCTGTACAACTGGGGTGTAATGGCCTCAGACACCTGTCTTCCACACCAGCACCATACATTCTGGGAGGCAAAAACCAGGCCTGTCTTTGCTTATCGCATGTATTAGTTTTCTATGGCTACTGTAACAAATTCCAGAAACTTGGTGATTTAAAGCCAAGATTTTATTACTTTATAGTTCTATAGTTCAGAAGTCCAGAATGGGTCTCACTGGGCTAAAATCAAGGTATCAGCAGGGCTGCATTCTTTTCTGGAGTCTCTGGGGGAGAATTCATTTCCTTGTCTTTCCCAGCTTCTAGAGGCCACCCACATTTTTGGCTCATGACCTCTTTCCTCCACCTCGGAAGCCAGCAACATTAGATCTCCTCTTGCTCCTCTCTGTTCCACGTTTAAGGTCTCTGGTGATTACTTTTGGCCCATCTGGACAACCCAGGATAATATCCCCATCTCAAGATCTTTAACTTAATTCCATCTGGAAAGTTCCTATCCCTTGGGAGTAACATATTCACAGGTTCCAGGGATCAGGATGTGGACGTCTTTGGGGGCTGTTATCCTGCCCACCCATCCTCAGAGCCCTGACACCCAGCATAAGGCTTGCCTGGTACAACTGCCTCTTTTTGCTGCTGCTCTGCCAGGCAGGCTGTGCTCCACGCCTAACTTAGATCAGCTTTCCAACTTCATCAGCAGCCTATAGGGTATCTGTTCCCATCTTACAGATGAGGAACAAGGCCCAGTGGAAAGGCCCCTTGCTTACACCTTCCTCCCTACCCAACCACCTCCCTCCCCCCACCAGCTACTCTGTGGAGAAGCTGGGATTTAAATGAGCGAGAGCCCCAGCTCATAACTGCTGGGCCTTACTGCTTAATAATAATTTCTGGGATAAATGGAATAATGAATCCATCAATGCAGCCTAATAAGAGACCGCTTTAGGGTCAGTGTGGGAGGCCTTCTAGCAACTCATTTAATTCCGTCTCCCCCTACTCCACCCCACCTTGCCCCAGACTTTCCTGATGTAGAGGTCCACCCACTCTGCATCTGGCACTCAGGCCCTGAACAGGAAGTCAGCTTAGATTCTCTTCTTCCCCTTCTCACACTCACCCCTCCCCTGGGATCTGCCCCCTGAACATGTCGCAAACCTGTCCACCTCTCCCTGTCTTCTCAGCGCCCTCACCCAGGACAGCGTCTTCTGCTGAATACCTGCTGGGGACTCGCCTCTGTCCTCCCTGCTCTTGTCTTTGTCCACCTCACCAAGGCTGCTTTCTCATCACACCTTTTCTAGAATGTCCCTCATATCATGTCACCCTCTCCTGTTTAAAACACTCCAGGACCTAAGAGGTATAAACTTACATTTATAAAATAAATGAGTCATGTATGAAATGTGCAGTGTGGGGAAGATAGTCAAAAACTATGTAATATCTTTGTATATTGATGGATGGTAACTAGACTCAATCATGGTGATCATTTTGAAATGTATAGAAATATCCAATCACTGCACTGTGTACCAGGAACTAACATAGTGGTGTACATCAATTATACTTCCAAAACAAACAAACTCTTAGAAAAAGAGGCCAGATTTGTGATTATCAGAGGTAGGGGTAGGAGGGGGAGAGGAAGGAGAAGGAAAATTGTATGCAGGTGGTCACAAGGCACTCACTTCTATTATAAGATAAATAAGTACCAGGGATGTAAAGTACAACATGATAAATATAATAAACACTGTTGTGCATATATGTGAAAGTTGGTTAGAGAGTAAGTCGTAAAAGCTTTCATCACAAGGAGGCTTCCCTGGTGGCTCAGATGGTAAAGAATCTGCCTGCAATGCAGGAGGCCTGGGTTCAATCCCTTGGTTGGGAAGATCCCCTGCTAGAAGGGAATGGTAACCCAGGATTCTTGCCTGGAGAATTCCATGGACAGAGGAGCCTGGCAGGCTACAGTCCACGGGGTTGCAAAGAGTCGGACACAACTGAGAGACTAACACTTTAGTCACAAGGAAAACAAGTTTTTTATTTCTTTAATTGTGTACATAGATGATGGATGTTCACTGAACTTATTATAGTCATCATTTCATGATGTTTTAAGTCAAATCATTATATTTATACCTTTAGCTTATATAGTGCTGTACCTCAATTATATCTCAATAAAACCTTTCTGGCCTCTTCTGTTCCACAGACCCCTGAGTCTATTCTGGTTACACTGGCCTCTCTGCCATGCCTGCAATACAGTGAGCTTGTTCTGGCCTCAGGCATTTTGCATTTGCTATTCCTTCTGCCTGGAATGCCTGTCCCATGGGTAATACACACTGTTTATTACTGAGCCTATTCCATGTGCCAAGTGTTGTTTAAAGCACTGTATATCTGTTAACTCATTAAACCCAATAATTCTATGAGGTGGTTGTGTCATCTTCATCCCCATCTGGGGCAACTGAGGCACAAATATGAATTGCCCAAGGTCACAGAGCAATTAAGTAGCAGAGTTGAGATTTGAACTTGGCAGTCAGGCTCTTTCTCTAAAGATTCCACCTCTCTGTCTTCCCCAGGGGAGTTCTCTGTGTTGAGGTCTCCGCTTCATTGCCACCTCCATCATTGTCATGACAACCTGTGTTATTGTCTTCATAGCATTTATCACTCTAGCATTCATGTGCCCCATGATGGCAGGGGCTGTGTCTGTACCTTATTCCCAGAGTCTAGAACAGTGCCAGGTAATAAACATGTGGTGTGATAAATGGTTAACAACCTGGGGATGGAAAGAAGCCCTGATTTGTAGTATCTGGCAATTTCCTTGGTGTAAATACTCTTACCGTGACTGATTTTCATGCTACCAAGGTCAACCAGCTCACAAAACTGACCACATAACTGTTGCCTCTCACAAACCAGTGTGAGCACATGGAGGCGTTCAGCTGAGGTTAACAAAGTCTGCTTTGCAAACTGTCCAACACCATGCCACGCTCATTCACCCTGTGTCCTCTTCTTGCCAGGAGAATCCAGACAGTGTTCCCCCGATCGACGTCCTCTGGATCAAAGGGGCCCAGGGTGGTGACTACTTCTACTCCTTTGGGGGCTGCCACCGGTATGCAGCCTACCAGCAGCTGCAGCGAGAGACCATTCCCGCCAAGCTTGTACAGTCCACCCTCTCGGACCTAAGGGTGTACCTGGGCGCTTCCACGCCAGACTTGCAGTAGCAGCCTCTTTGGTACCTGCCACCACTACCAGGAACCTGGAAGACACCTGGCCTCCAGTGGGCTCGGACATGCAGAGGTGTAGCAGGAGTGCATTCTGTTTGTGTGTGGCAGGTGGGTCTGGCTTGAAGCACCCTCTTGGCTAGCTGCAAGACCTTGGACTCATGACTGAACAGTGTGGGAGCCCCACTTCCCACCTTGGGGGAAATGAGGTCCTGTGTTTGCTCTTGAGGGATTATTGAGAGGCTGAAATGAGAAAGGAGACGGATTTGGAGAGTCATATGCTACTGGCTCCGGATTCCCAAGGACAAAGATCCTTCTGCATTTCTGTCCTTGTATTGTATCGTGTGAATTCATTCATCTGCAAGTGAAGGAAAACCTAGGTTACAGTGACTTAAACAAAGAGAAGTTTCCTTTTCCACATAGCATGAATTCTGGAGACAGTTGACTAATGATACTGGTTAAACCACTCAGCAAAGTTAGGGCACACATCTTGTCACTTCTCAGTCACAAGATGGCTGCTGTACCTCCAGCAATTGCAGCTATGTCCAAGGAAGAAGGGAGTCGGGGAGGAGAAAGGGCCCAGCCAGCTGGACCCGTCAGCTTCTATCATAAATTCAGGACTTTTCCAAAGGCCTGTTTCCTGCTCTCTTCCCCTGTGTATTTAGATCAAAATAGACTTAGATCTCCTTGGCCCAAACCAGGTGCAGTAGCCACCCCTAGCTGCAAAGAAAGCTAAGACAGCAGGAACACAATTGTCACAGTTGAGTAGATCAATCATTTCCCATCTCCTAGAACTGTCACACAGCCTCCTAAAAAATATTGGAATCCCATTGCCAAGAGAGAAATGAGAAATTGTGTATCAGTTAGCCTTTGCTGAGAAAAAAACAATTCCTGAACTTGGCAGCTAAAAACAAATTATTTGCCTACAATTCTGTGGGTTAGCAATTTGGGCTGGACTCATCTGGGCAGTTCTGCTGATCTTGCCTGAGGTCACTCATGGGATTGTATGCAAATCAACTGTCACCCAAAATGGCCTGGATGATCTCAAATAGCCTGACTCCCTTGTTTCGGCAGTAGGTGGGCTGTTGGCTGGGTGACTTGGTTCTCCTCCAGGTGGCCACTCCACCAGTTAGTTCAGGCTTATTCACATGATGGCATCAGCGCTGAGAGAGGAAGAGAGAGAGAGAGATGTGGGGTGTGCATAGAGGACAGGAACAGAGAGAAAGATGGAGAGAGAAGTTGCAAGGCTTTTTTGAGTTCTAGGCCAGAACTGGTGTAACATCACTTCTGCTAAGTCCTTTTGGTGTTTGGCTCAGATTCAAGGGCTGGGGAAACAGACTATACCTCGTGGAGAAACTACAAATGATTTGTGGCATGTTTTCTCTCTATCACAAATGACTTTGAATAGCAAATAACAGTGCTTCTTTGTTTCTTGCTCTCTTGCACGGGGCCTTGCTCTGTCCAGGCTGAAGTCACTAAGACACTGACCTGGCCCTGCAGAGGGGAAGAAGTGAGGGGCGGTGGGTGGGTCTCTCCTAGGGCTGGGCCCACTCTGGGAGGGCCCTCAACATCTGTACTCTGGTAGGTTAGGGCAGGTGGGTAGGCCAGGTAGGACACTGCAAAGGAGCTTCTGAAATCCTGTAGTCCTGTGGGGAAGGGAAGAGGCAGAGGAGGGGTGCAGAGTGAGGTGGACCTTACTCTTACTGCACTGCTGAGGGAACTCCATCACTTGGCATTTTCAAACTTCATTTTCTCCAGCTCAGTAATGAAGACAACAGCTTTCCCACCCATTCTCTGTCCCAGGGATTGATGACTGAGGTGACCAATGGAATTTAAAAGGGATGTAGTCTTAAATGCAGTGTGATATCCTGTATTGGAACTTGGAACAACAGCAACAAAAGGACATTAATGGAAGAACTGGAAATCTGAAGAAGGTCTGGATTTTAGTTAATTTATACAAATGTTGATATTGGGGTAGGCTGGGTGCAGAGTATATGGGAACTCTGTACTGTATTTACAACTTTTCTGTTAATCCAAAACCACTTCCAAATAAAAGTTTATTTAATAAAAAGAGGGAGTAATTGAGTTAAACCAATGGTTCTGGTTCACAAAACGGGTTTGCTACATCACAGATGACCAGACTGCACCCCCAGAGTTTCTGATTCAGGTCTAGGGTGGAGCCTAAGAATTTGCTTTTCCAAGTTCCCAGGTGATGTTGATGCAGCTGATCAGGGACCACAAGCTCAGAACCACTGATCTAGACTGTGTTGCTTTTTTTTCAAGTATGGTGACAGCCCTTCACCTCCAATGGAGAAGAAAGAGTTGGGTCCCAGGAGATCCATGTTTTGGAACTAGCTTGTGCACCTACTCCATATTACATTGGGCAAGCCCTTTCCTGGGGCTTTTTCCAAGTTGTCTAATGGACTGTCTACCCGGAGGTTTGTAGTGGCGGTTGGCGGGGGAGGGTAGTTGAGGACATGGCTTTGTAGGTTGCTGTCATGACTTGCTGCTTCTCATGTGAGACACCTGCACCCACTGAATAGCAGAGTGGTTACCCCTTCTTGGAAGGCTTTTCCCTCCTACAGATAAGGCCCAAGCAGGCAGCGCTAGGAGTACTCCTGGACACTGAGAGGAAGCTGCGGAGCGGACTTGGAGCGGGAGGGACTGGTGGTTCTTAAGGAAGAGGTGCTGGGTTTTGAAGCGTGAAACCTGGTTGCTCTCAGTGGAGACTAAGCTGCATTTCCCGCTTCAGCCAGCAGATGGCGTTGCTTTCTGGCTGCCCGAGCGGGGTTGGGCCTCCCACCTACAGAATAACTGCTGTGGGAAGAGGGAAAGATGGAGGGGTCTGACTGTGAGGGATGCCCATAGATTGCCCAGAGAAGCCATGGCTTCAGGCGGGAGAAGGAGACCTGGCTGGGAGTTTGGAGTTTCAGGTTTACTTACCCTTGTCGGATCTTGCTCTCTGGCCCTGCACATATCATGGCCTCTCCAGGCCTGTCATAGGAGACTAGGGTCTCTACACTGGGTGTGCTGGGCCAACTTATCTCAAACTCACTTCCTCCAAGAAGCTTCCAGATCCTCCAGGCTGAGCTCCATGCCTCTTCTGGGCTCCCCTTGATCCAAAAATGTGTCCCCTCCCCAAACAAACCACTGCCCCAGGGAACTTGGGTCCAGTGAAAAGCAGTGTGTAAAGAAAGTGAAGTCGCTCAGTCGTGTCCTACTCTTTGTGACCCCATGGACTGTAGCCTACCATGCTCCTCTGTCCATGGGATTTTCCAGGCAAGAGTACTGGAGTGGGTTGCCGTTTCCTTCTCCAGAGGATTTTCCTGACCCAAGGATCGAACCCAAGTCTCCCACGTTATAGGCAGACGCTTTACCGTCTGAGCTACCAGGGAAGTCAGCAAGCATGTAGGGACCTCTTATTTCCTGTACTGCCCTAGGACGAACCCCTTTCACCACGGTAGACTTTTTAAATGTTTTCTTTTCACAAGGTAAATGTATGTATATTTACCTTTTAAACATTAAGATAGAAAAATGCTAAATAATTAATATTAACAGTAAAATATGAGAGGCAAGCTGATATCCACCATGACTCCTAGTCCTGGTTGTCCTTCTGCCCTCTCTGTTTGTGGGGTAAACACCTTCATGAATTTGGCATATACCCTTCCAGACCTTTTTCTAATTTAGTAGGTGTGTGTGTGAGTATACAGTGTTTTTCTTTTTTACTTAATTTTGCAGGTCATATTTCTTCACTGGTGATGTGCCTTAGTCCTCCACCCCATGAGTGCCTTTGCTATTCTCCCAGAGTCTCCCTCATTCTAGTTGCTTCTTGAAAGTGAAAAAAGCAAAGTGAAAATATGAGTCACTCAGCTGTGTCTGACTCTTTGCAACCTCATGGACTGTAACCCACCAGGCTTCTCTGTCCATGGAATTCTCCAGGCAAGAATACTGGAGTGGGTAGCTATTTCCTTCTATGAGGGATCTTCCCGATCCAGGGATCAAACCTGGGTCTCCCACATTAAAGGCAGATTCTTTACCATCTGAGCCACCAGGGAAACCCCCCTGGTTGATTCTCAGAGGGGCCTTTCTTATCACTATTTAAGCTGTCCCCCCCCCCCCCATCATTTTATCAACACACTCGGTTTTATTTTCTTCATGGCATTTATCACACTTCCCGAAATTATCTTTTGTCTCTGTTTATGACTGTCTCATCCACTAGAATGTAAATTTTTGAGGCAGGACTTGATCTGTCTTTTGACTGTAGGCCCAGTGCCAAGAACTGCCTGACAGGGGCTTCCCTGGTGGTCCAGTGGTTGGGAGTCCAATATGGGGGACTCAGGTTCAATTCCTACTCGTGGAACTATGATCCCTATGCCACAGGGCAACTAAGCCCCCTCGCCACAACTAGAGATGCCGCAACCAAGAACTGATAGAGCCAAAAATAAATAAATATTTTTTTAAAACTGCCCGACACATAAATGTTCAATAAAAATGCTAAATGAGTAAAGTCCATATAGGTGTAGCTCATTCTTTTCATTGCTGCATGGTGTTCCAAGGTCTTCATATAACCATGTATTAGTCATTCTGTTAATGACTTTGAGGGGTTACTGTTATTTGCTGCTGTAAACGCTTTCTGCCATCATGCTCTGTACTCAATCAGCTTTGTACATAGGAGTGGCACAGCCTGGCCTGTGCATGGGTGTTGGCCAATTGCTCCGCAGAGTGGCTGTTCTAAGTGCCTTTCCCTGAGTTTGGGGTAGGGGTTGGGGGTCAGCTTTCTGTCCCTACACTCCAGCCAGTGTTTCTTAACCTGCTTTAGATGGTGAACACAGTTGAGAATCTGAGAGACAACCATGAGCTCCTTCTCCAGAAACACACACAAATCTGAGGATTTCTGAGGATGCCTGGATTTAAAGGTCTTATCCTCCAGGCCCTGGATCCAGTGTTTAGAATCCTAGTTGTTTCATTGCATGGCCAGGAATGAATAAGGCACCCACAGGTAGGGGTGTGAACAAATGAATAAATGGGATCTAGTTTTGTGAGGGTAGATAAAAGTGTTCAGACCCTGATCTGTCTCCAGTCAGAAAAAAAACAGCTATGTGAGAGGCCTGGGTGGCGGGGGGAGGTCCAGCCCTGCTCTATCTTGGACCCTGGGGTCCCCTGAGAACCAGATCCAAAGGCTATCTAGACTAGGTCCGGGTGGCTCCACTTGTCAGCCCTGGCAAGAGGTAGGCCAAATCTGGCATCCAGGGTCAAAGCTGGGAGCCAGGGAGAGGCCTTGACTTCCTTGGGCCAGATAAGGACGCCGCAAGGCGTCCCTCCCTGCCTTCCACCCAAACCATATTTGCTCCAGTGTTTGCCGGCAGCCTTTGGGTTCGAATCCCACCTCTAGCTCTTCCGCACAGCCGGCACATAGGGAGTGCTCATTACAGAAAGGCTCCACCGTCAGCACTTCCATACTTGATCCTGCCGTCCCAAGAGCAGGACAGAGAGGAGATGATCTCCCCTGTTGGACAGAGGGGTAAACTGAGGCCCGAAGCGGGGGGAGCCGGGTTAGGTGACCGCACACAGGGACCCCCGCCCCATCCCCGCCGGCCCATCCGCCCCGCCCTCCCCGGCGGCCCCTTCCCGGGGCCTGACCCCCGGCGCTGCCTGACAGATGACCTCAGCTGCCGCCAATCCATTGGTTCCAGCTCCCGGGGGGAGCGCAGAACAAAGCGCGCTTTGTGGTGGGGCCGTCCCCTCCCCCGGCGCGCCGCCGCCGGGACCCCCTCCGGAACTCCGCGCGACGCCCCCCGGCCGACAGCCGTGTAATGTCTTCCAGGCGCTCGCAGCTCCTCGCAGAGCCCCCGGAGCCGCGCTCGCCTCCCCCGCCCGCCCGGTGGGGCTCCCCGGGCGGCGGGATGGGCGGGGGGCGCCCCCAGCGGGAGGTCGCGAGGCCGCCCACCTGTCCCCGGGAAAGGAGCGGGAGGGCGCGAGGCACCAGCGCCAGTGGTCCCGGCTGCGGGCGCCAGGCAGGTGCTGCCCGCTGACAAGCTGAGCGCTGCGGCCCCGGGTGGAAAGTGTAGGTGACTGCGTTACTATTATTGTTATTGTTGCCATTACTATTATTGTAACTATTTTGTGATTGTGAGGGGGAGTCGCTTGCATCTTGGCTTTGCCACATGCTGGCCATGGAACCTTCCTGAGCGCCTTCACCTCTCAGAACAACAGCAATAGTAGCCAGCATTTCTTGAGCACCTACTTTGTGCCAGACCCTAAGTGCAAAGGCTTTGTGCTGTGCTAAGTCGCTCAGTCGTGTCTGATTCTGTGCGACCTCATGGACTGTAAACCCTCCAGACTCCTGTGTCCTTGGGATTCTCCAGGCAAGAATACTGGAGTGGGTTGTCATTTCCTTCTTCAGGGGATCGAACCCAGGTCTCCCACATTGCAGGCGGATTCTTCACTGTCTGAGCCAATGAACTCATTTAATCATCCTCATCACAAATTTGGGAGGGAGGATTATCACCCCTCTTTCACAGAGAAAGGAACCCTGGCCCCAGCTTTCCTAGAGACACATTCAACTCCTGTGCCTCAGTTTCCTTGTCTGCAAAATAATCTCCCCAAGTGCTGTTCACTCTTATTGGTCTTACCTCCTTCTCGTTGAGGACACAGGGCTGGGAATGGCTTGCTCCCTGGCTTGCTCAGGAGCACCCCACATGGGTCTGCCCCCAAACCCTCTGTCTTTTGAGGACTGTCCCTAGAGGGCGATGCTCTTGCTGGTTCCTGTTGGGCTCATGGGGGAGGGAGAAGTTGGAAGAGGGTCTGCCTGCAGCTGGAAACCTTTCCCCTGAGAGATAAGCTTCCTTGTCTTGTGCCGTCCTTGAGGGCTGAGGAGGTAAGGGCAGGGAGGTGGGGACACCATGTCCAGAGAGGGGACCAAGGAGCCAGGAGGGGGCTGGGAGTGTCTGCCCCCACCCTTCACACACTGCCTGGATGTTCATTCTCCCTGGGACCTATGGGGCACCAGACACTGCTCCAGGTGCTGAGAATATCAGAATACAAAACAGATGGAAACTCTCGTCCTCTTGAAG